ATATATATATATATATATACACACACACACACATATATATATATACACACATACATATATATATATATATACATACATATACATACATACATACATATATATATATATATATATATATATATATATATACATACATACATATATACATACATACATATATACATACACACATACACACAAATAAATATATACATACACACATACATTTAAATATACATACATAAACATATGTACAAATAATATATATGTGTGTGTATATTTATACATATATACTGTGTACACATGTATATATTGTGCAAAAATAAACTTTTCTTAGATGCAATTAATCGTGAATAATCATTTGACAGTAATAGTAAATGTGTGTGTGTGTGTGTGTGTGTGTGTGTGTGTGTGTGTGTGTTACATATTTGAGAATTGCGCTCTGGTGAACACTGATATATCGCGAGGGTGAGAGTAAGATGCAGCATCTCTTCAAAAAGAAAAAACTAAACCAAAAGAACAAACCACAAGGGCTCAGAGGACACAAATGAGCTGAACTAATGCGATCTGGACCACGACATCCTGTTTTACCCTTCTATGATGCACTTCCTGTGTGAATCTCTCAATTAAACCCTCAAACTGCTGAACATACCGAATGCTGCAAATCTGTCTTAAAGGGACAGTTCACACAATTTCAATTCCCTCACTAAACGCCTTTCTTCTGTTGAACAAAAACAAAAGGAGATACTCTGGAAAATGTTTGAGAAATAGCAGTAATTGACAACCATAAAATATTATAAAAAGTCAATGGCTCACGCTTCAGTAGAATTTCCATGTGTTCAACCGAAGAAATAAACCCAAACTGGTCTAAAACAAATAAATGATGACAGAATATTCATTTTTGGGTGAACTGTCCCTTTAAAATCTCCCTTTTCTTAGTGTTCAGTGCTACCCACGAGCTTTATTTGGCCACTGGCACAAGTATAAATGCTCAACAACACACATTTACACACAACAACTCGAAAACCGTCCCTTAAAACCAACAATAGCGAATCTACATAAGAGGCATCGGTTGATAAGGTTGACGAGTCGAGAACGAAATTTGGCTAAAAGATGAGTTTTATTCAGTTCATTTGGGTTATGATGGAGTCTTCCTGATAAAATTAAGGTGGATAAATAGCAGCGCTGGATTACGGTGACAAAACGTTTGATATTTTGGTGGAAAGTTTGCAGAAAGAGCTGAAGAAAAGGCCTCGGTTGACCTCAGTAGTGGTTGATCTCTCAGTATATTCTACAAAACTAAGGTCTCGAATGTAAATCTGCGAACGCTTTTGATTGGTCTGATGATAAAGAGCTAAATGAAGAACAACCTTAAAGCTCAGTCTTGCTGTCCGCTGGCGTCCAGATTCCCGCTTTCCGCTTGGCAGGGGCTCTTGGGTAAAGCTCCATTGGTCTCAGGTAGATTTTCGATGCCTAGGTAACCCATCAGGATATCTGCTCGTCTGTGGGACAGGCGGAGGATGTCTTCAGCCAGAGATGGGACGGATGTGAAACGCACCTTATCATGGTCAAACATGTCCTTCAGATACTGAACAATCTGTTGCTGTGGAGAGTAAAGGAGAATGGGATATTAGCTCAAGGGTCGCTTTATAGTTGGTTTATTTATTTATAAAGCACAATAAAACAACAGTTGTTGGCCACTGTTCTGTACAAACCTAAAAGCAAACTAGAAAAGTGAAGTTCATTGACAAACTTTATGGTGGCTAGTCTGAAAGTTTGAAGTCGTTTCAAAGTTTAAATAATTTAAGTAGTTTTAAGAAGTGTGCAACAGTTGGCAGAGATAGAAAAGTACACATTTATTAGCATGTTTCTAGTATGGATTAGTATATTGTTAGTATGATGGTATGTGGGCGAGGCAGTGGCGCAGTGGGTAGTGCTGTCGCCTCACAGCAAGAAGGTCACTGGTTCGAACCTCGGCTCAGTTGGCGTTTCTGTGTGGAGTTTGCATGTTCTCCCTGCCTTCGCGTGGGTTTCCTCCGGGTGCTACGGTTTCCCCCACAGTCCAAAGACATGCAATACAGGTGAATTGGGTAGGCTAAATTGTCCGTAGTGTATGAGTGTGTGTATGTTTCCCAGAGATGGGTTGCGGCTGGAAGGGCATCCGCTGCGTAAAAACTTGCTGGATAAGTTGGCGGTTCATTCCGCTGTGGCGACCCCGGATTAATAAAGGGACTAAGCCGACAAGAAAATGAATGAATGACTCGTTCTCAGGTAACGTGTTTTGGCTGAGTGCAAAGATAGTCTGCTGAACGTATCACTGGCACTACCCTTCCTACACTTCTAGAACTGTACTCTTCCAGCGTGAGTAAAAGGGCTCGCAAAATCACTCTGGACGCCTCGCACCCAGCACACCACCTGTACGAACTGTTACCGTTTGGGAGGGATTTAGAGCACCAAGTACAAAAACAGCCAGACACAGGAAAAGTTTCTTTCCTCAGGCCATCTACCTCATGAACAGTTAAATATTCCCCAACTGTGCAATAAACATGTGCAATACGTTCTCATACGCACTTGTACACAGCCCCTTATATCAATTTACAATGCAATACTTTTTCCATTCCCATTTGTACAAAGCACCGCATAACCTATGTATTTATAACAAATCTTTACAAACAACTCAACATCCAGATTTCTGGACTAACTGCATCTCTGTTTAATGTTTATCTTCTTTTTCATATTTATTTTGTGTTGTTACTTGTCACTTTATGTACACTGTAAGCTTCGATAGCCAAAAAAAATTCCTTGTGTGTGTGAAGCACACCCGGCAATAAAACAGATTCTGATTTTATTAGATATTTTTCAACACAATAGTATTCAGCTTAGTGACATTTAAAGGCTTAACTAGGTTAATTAGGAAAGTTAATGTAATTAGGCAAGTCATATAACAGTGGTTTGTTCTGTAGACAATGGAAACAAATATTACTTAAAGGAGCTAATAATATTGAGCTTAAATATTTCAGTTCTTTGCTAAGGTTTACGATTGTGTTTCACTCCCTAAACCAATGATAGCAATTTTTGGCTGGTCAGATTTTCTTGAGACTCTCAACCGAAATGTACGGTTACCTGTTCAGTATGGCATGATCATAGCTAAAAAAGTTATCCTTTATTTTTGGGAAAAAAAAAATGTTAGGCCTCTTTTTTCTGATTGGGTTCTCGGACTCACCTCCACTTTACATTTGGAAAGAATAAGATATACCACCTCTGGGAACTCTGCGAAATTTGGTAAAATGTGGGATCCAGTCTTTCTTTTTCTGCAACACCATAAAGACTAAGAGTGTCATTTAATTTCTGAAGATTTGTAAGTTTTTTTTTCTCTACATCCACTGCTGTCTTTTTGTAGGTCATATATGTTTTGTATGTCGCCATTTTCTCTTGTTTCTTTCTTTATTTTACAATTTGCACAGATTATTGTCTCATGATGGGTTTGTCTGTCTGTTCTTTGTTTTGCTGTCTGCAAAAATTATAATAAAAAAATATTCAAAAAAAAAAAATATTGAGCTTAAAATGGTTTTTAAAAAAATGAAAACTGCTTTTATTCTGGCCGAAATAAGACAAATCAGAATTTCTCCAGAAGAAAAAACATTACAGGAATTACTGTGAAAAATTCCTTGCTCTTTTAAACATCATTTGGGAAATATTTTTAAAAAGAATTTCACAGGAGGGCTAATATTTATGACTTCAACTGTAAGTAAAGGATGATTGATGATCCCTCGGTTCCAGCTCGTATCTCAGCCTGCCTGTTGGATATTTCACACTGGATGAAAGATCATCATCTTCAGCTGAACCTCGCAAAAACGGAAATGCTTGTAGTTTCTGCCAACCCGACTCTACACCATAACTTTTCAATCCAGATGGATGGGGCAACCATTACTGCATCCAAAATGGTGAAAAGCCTTGGAGTAACGATTGATGACCAACTAAACTTCTCTGACCACATTTCTAGAACTGCTCGATCGTGCAGATTCGCACTCTATAACATCAGAAAGATCCGACCCTTCTTATCTGAACATGCAGCTCAACTCCTTGTTCAAGCTCTTGTTCTCTCCAAACTGGATTACTGCAACTCTCTACTAGCTGGGCTTCCAGCTAACTCTATCAAGCCTCTTCAACTGCTCCAGAACGCAGCAGCACGAGTGGTCTTCAATGAACCTAAACGAGCACATGTCACTCCGCTGCTCATCCGTTTGCACTGGCTGCCAGTTGCTGCTCGCATCAAATTCAAAGCTCTGATGTTTGCCTACAAAGTGACTTCTGGCCTTGCTCCTTATCTGCTCTCACTTCTGCAGATCAATGTGCCCTCCAGAAACTTGCGTTCTGTGAATGAACGTCGCCTCGTGGTTCCATCTCAAAGAGGGAAGAAATCACTTTCGCTCACGCTCAATCTGCCCAGTTGGTGGAATGAACTCCCTAACTGCATCAGAACGGCAGAGTCACTCGCTATTTTTAAGAAATGACTAAAAACTCAACTATTTAGTCTCCACTTTACTTCCTAATTTGCAATTGCCTCTCTGGATATACCACTAACTGTACCCAAAAAAAAAACAAAAGTACTAATATTTTCCTTCTTAGACTTTACAGACCTGAAACTTGCCTACAGCACTTATTCATTGTTGCTCTTATAGTTGTGTAAATTGCTTCCTTGTCCTCATTTGTAAGTCGCTTTGGATAAAAGCGTCTGCTAAATGACTAAATGTAAATGTAATGTAAATGATTATCTCACTTGCAATTGGAGAAGTGTGGAGAGCATTAAGCGGGTCTTACCTTGAATATGGTGCACACCTCACTGAGATGCTGATGCGGGCCCAAAAACCCAAAGGCCAAAACCGGACTCACATGTTCAGAGATTACATAGAAATGTGCGATGAAACCATCTGGAACCTGAGCAGCAAGACACACAATAAAAGACAATCTGGCTGACTAACAAACTGTAACTCATCATACATCTGCAGAAAGGATTCCTCAGAAACAAACAATCAGCAATTTAAATTTTTTGAAAGCTATTAGTTACTAGTTAATTAGCTGAAGTTATTAGTAACTAATTAAGTTATGGTAACTAAGGTCACACTTTACAATAAGGTTCATTAGTTAATGTTAAGTAATGCATTTTCTAACATGAACAAACAATGAACAATACATTTACTACAGTATTTATTCATGTTAGTAAACGTTAGTTAATGAAAATACAGTAGTTCATTGTTAGTTCATGTTAACTCATGGTGCATTAACTAATGTTAACAAGCATGGACTTGGATGTTAATAATGCATTAGTAAATGTTCAATTATGATTAATAAATGCTGTACATGTGTTGTTCATGATTAGTTCATGTTAGTAAATGCATTAACTAATGAACCTTATTGTAAAGTGTTACCGTAACTAATAACTTTTCTGAATTTGTTTGTAATGCAATACCATGCACTTTTTGTAAAATTATAATAATTGTGAAAAGTGCTACACAAATAAATAACCTTGAGCAATTACTCACCATTAGTAATCTTCTTTTAGCTTTCAGCACAGACCAACAGGCTGTAGCCAATGCCTTATGAAGACAGAGAAAGATACTTCAGAAATACAGACACATTAAGCTCAATTCTGTGAGCCACTTAAAGGCACAGTATGTGATTTTGTCCACTAGAGGGTGTGCATTTACAACAAACAAAGGTGTATTTTGATGATGGAGTGATGGATGAGCTTAAGTATTTAACACTTATTATCATGGTAGTATGACTAGAGATAGATTAATGCGCTTTTTGAAGCTTCAAAATTAAAGCCACTAAGCAACACCATTTTACAACATGGAAGAGCCAGGATAAAATTTAAAGCTACTGCGACTGTATTCACATCACAGAAAAAAAAACACAGAGAATAGATTAAGGGAGTGTTAATTATGGGGTAAATTGAAATTTAGGAATGTAAATATTACTTAAAGTCATTCATTACTACTGAAAGCGGATCTACAGGATCTGGATCATAGACTGTCCTCATATTGTCATCCATGGCTTTTCTATCTTGCCTTTATTTATGGTAAATAAATAATAACACAATGCGAGATGCCATGTGATGTTCGAATTTGTTCTTACAAATTTAAGACCTGCCAGGAACAATATAGTTTTTTTATTATGTCCTGATGTGGAAAACTATGAAATTCAATTGAGTGACACATGACTGTGTATGTGTGCAGAGGAGCTGTTGCGTACAGTCTCTTTAAAACTGTCCGAGAGCCATCTGTTCCTCAGAACTGCGACCACTGAAGACGGAGGACTTTCCAGATCCTCGAACGCATCCATGAGGATAAAGTCCAACACGATGTCAAAGAAGTTCATACAGACAACCTGGAACAAAATCAAAGGTCAAACGAAAAATTATTATCTTATCCTTATTATTATTGGCATAATTAATAATAATAATAATTATAATAATTATAATAATAATAATAAATAATAATAATAATAATAATAATAATTAGTGCCATCAAATGACTACCACGATTAAATCACAACCAAAATAAAAGTTTGTATTTACATAATGTATACTGTATGTACTTCCGTTGTATAAATATTGTGCCTATATATAAAAGATATATACAAAAATCCAAAATATTTAAATATTTATTTATGCATAAGATTCAAATATTTATTTTAGAATTAATAAAATCATTATCATTAATAAAAATCATTTACACGAACACAACAAATATGTGCAGTAAACATCATGTAAATACGAGCTTTTGATTTCGATGCGAATAATCATAGTGAATCTTTTGACACCACTAATAATAATAATAATAATAATAATTATTATTATTATTCTACTTTTTATAAATTATATTATTTAATTATATTATTTATATTATTATTATTTATTCAATATTATTTAATTAAGTTAATAATAATACACTAATTGCAGTATTATTTCCTTACCATGAATAATAATAATAATAACAATAATAATAATAACAATAATAATAATAATAATAATACTTTTATTGCAGTATAAATAATTGCTTTCCCATGTTAATATAATAATATTAATAATAATAATACACTAATTGCAGTATAAATAAATTTTTTTACAATGTTTTAATAATAATAATAATAATAATAGTTATTATTATTATTTTACTTTTTATAAGCTATATTATTTAATTATATTATTTTTATTATTATTATTAATAATAATAATAATAATAATACACTTATTGCAGTATAAATAATTTCCTTACCAAGTTAAAATAATAATAATAATAATAAATAATAATATTTTTATTGTAGTATAAATAATTTCCTTTCCATGTTAATATAATAATATTAATAATGATAATAATAATAATAATAATAATAATAATTACAATATTAATAATAATAATAATAATAATAATAATAATGTGACACATTAGTTTAGGTACCAATTTTTACTTCCTAATATTGACGTATTACATGCCTATCATTAAGATATTGGCTGTTTATTAGCGCTTATAAAACTACATATTCTGCATGATCTTATTCTACATCCCTAATCCTACCTAATACCTAAATCCAACTACCACCCTAATAATTACTAATAAGCAGAAAATTTGAAGTTTGAAGCAAAAGTCATAATTAATGGAATCAATAATAGAGAGAATTGTACAGTAAAATCAAGTGTGACCGAGATTATGATTTTCATTTTATTATCATTATTATTAATCATCATACAAGTAGAATAAATATGATGATGATTATTATTATTTTGTGACCTTTATTATTTATATAATAATTATAAATAAAGACATAAAAATGGCAGTTGTGAGAAAGCAGCTGCTAAGAAAGCATGACATTTTGGCTTGTTACTGGGATGTCATGCAATGTTGTATATCTTGTAGCCCTTTGAGTTCAAGAAAAGTGCATCATAATTGTATTAATATTAATTATATCAATATGGATATTTGCACATGTTCATTGGCAGATGAAGCCATTAAAATGTCATTAAATATGAAGTATTATAACAGGACAAACCCCACGTCCTTCCAGCTCCATCTTGCTGACGGGCCATGTTTCTTCTCTCTGTGTGTACTGCAGCATGTCTTCATAACTCTCCAGAAACGCCTTCGGACTCTAAATACAAAGAAGACAAAACCTGGATTTCACATATTTACATTATATATTGAAGCATGCATGATGCTTATGGTGTTTTCATAACATGTCGTCACTTTCTGCCCATTCAGTATATGTTGGTGGTCAAGTTGACTTCCACTGCAGAAGTATAAGCCTTCGGGCCAACAAAGAATAAATGGCTAGTGCATTTAATTGACCTGCTGGTAGTGCAAGGTTTTCAGATGTCACACCAAATATTGCTATAACTGTATCTCCTTTTCAAATATTTAAGACAAAGTATCAAACACAGCAGACTAACATGGTCCAAGGGATGGACACGTTCAGAACATGTCGCCTCATTTCTGTGGCATTTTACAGTAGCAGTTGTAAAAATAATAATAATAATAATAATAATAATAATATTAATAATAATAACAAAATGTTTGCTTCTAATCATTATTAAAATAATTAGACAAATGTATTAATTTAATTTAATTACTTAAAATAAGAGAAGTTAATCAAAATCTGAAAATAGAGTCCCTTAAAGTTTTATAATTCCTTTATTTTTATACTCTGGCTGCTGCAACACAGAAATTTCCCCACTGTGAGACAAATAAAAGCATCAATCAATCATTACAAAATGTTACATTTCATGATTTTAATTAATTAGACTTAGGATTTTTAATAAATAAAATGTATTAAACTATTAAAAGTAAAAAAAGGAGATTTAGATAAGTTAAACATAAAATAAATAGAGAACGATGATCATTATTATTATAATTATTGTTTTATCCTAAAATGTAAATTATTAAATTTTACAATTTATTCTGACTTATTATTTTATTTATTTCGTTTTTGTTTGTTTACATATTTTTTATAATGTATTTTTTACTACTACTATTTACTGTGTTTACCATGTTTTTTTAAATACATTACATATGTTTGTTCTTTTTAAAGTAAACTTTATAAACGCTTTGGCAATACATTTGTAGCATTTCTCATGCTAAAAAAACAATAATTGAATTGAACTGAACTGAGTTGAATTGAATTGAAAGAGAGAGAGAGATTTAAATATTTAAATAATTAAAAGCATACAATAGTAGCAGAGTTCTACATGAATTATAAACGACTCAATATTATTTTAGGACTCTTATCAATATTTAATTCTAGAATGTCATGTAAGAGTTAAGGGGTTTAAAGTTATATAAATGTTTTGGAAAGAGAACAATATAGGGGCGGGGCTTGATTTTGTTCACTAGGAATTGATTGAGTGTGGTTTGCTTTTGGTGGATGTCATGTGTGACAGGTTGATTCCACCCTCATACCAGTAACCACCAATAAGAGAAATGATGTTGTTGAAGAAGTTTGCTAAATATTGTAATATTCAGTAATAATAATAATAATAATAATAATAATAAAATAATAATAAAATCATATTAATAATAATAATGATAATAATAACAATAAATAATAAAAAACAATAATAACTAAAAAAATAATAATGATAATAATAAATAATAATAATGAAACAACAATAACAAATAATAATAAAATAATAATAACAAAATAAATAATAATAAAACAATAATAAAATAATAATAATAAATAAATAAATAAACAATAACAAAATAAATAATAATAAAACAATAATAATAATAATATTAAGAATAATAAAATAACAAAACAACAACAATAATAATAATAATAATAATAATAATAATAATAATAATAAATTTGGATTAGGTAGTGCTGTCGCCTCACAGCAAGAAGGTCGCTGGTTCAGTTGGCGTTTCTCTGTGGAGTTTGCATGTTCTCCCTGCACTCGCGTGGGTTTCCGCCACAGTCCAAAGACATGTGCTAAAGGTGAAATAGTTAGACTAAATTAGCCGTAGCGTATGAGTGTGAATAAGTGTGTATGGATGTTTGCTATAAATGGGCTGCAGCTGGAAGGGTATCCTCTGCGTAAAACATATGCTGGATAAGTTGGCGGTTCATTCCGCTGTGGCGACCGCAGATTAATAAAGAGACTAAGCCAAAAAGAAAATGAATGAATGTATCTAGATTTCATGGCTGACTTTAACCTGTATGAAATCACCTTGTTGGCTTTGACCAGGAGTCCAGAAATCATCTGCTTCCCTGTTTCCATGAAGAACATTCTGTGCGTTTCATCCAGCAGCAGCACCTACACACACACACACACACACACCAGCAACAGTCCTATGAGCGTAATCGTGTGCTTGTGTGCATAACAGCGTGCGAGTATGAGTACATGTGAGAGTGCGAGTATGTGTAATTGTGTATATGTGTTTGTGTAATTGTGTGCATATATGTGTGTGTAATCATGTAGGTGAGTGTTATCATGGCAGTGTGTGTGTGTAATGGTGTATGCATTTGTAATCGTGTGGGCATGTGTATGTGCACTTGTAACGGTGAGGGCATTTGTGTGTGTGTGTGTGTGTGTGTGTGTGTGTAATGGTTTGTGCATATGAGTGCATTTGTAACCGTGTGGGCATGTGTGTGCGCATTTGTAACCATGTGGATGTGTTTGCATCTCTAACCATAAGGGGGCATGTGCGTGTGTGTAAGGGTTTGTGCATATGAGTGCATTTCCAATCGTGTGTGTGTGTGTGTGTGTGTGTGTGTGTGTGTGTGTGTGTGTGTGTGTGTGTGTGTGTGCGCGTGTGTGTAAAATGGTGTGCGCATGAGTGCATTTGTAACCGTGTGGATGTGTGTGTGCATCTATAACCATAAGGGGGCATGTGCGTGTGTGTAAGGGTTTGTGCATATGAGTGCATTTGCAATTGTGTGTGTGTGTGTGTGTGTAAAATGGTGTGCGCATGAGTACATTTGTAATCATGTGGTCATGTGTGCGCACGCAATCATTTGTATGTGTGTGTGTGTCTATGTATGCATATGAGTGCATTTGTAATCATGTGGGAATGTGTGTGCGTGTAACCGTGTGTGTGTGTGTCTGTGTGTTTGTGTAATGGTGTGTGCATTTGTGTCCATTTTTAATCATGTCAACATGCGTGTGTAGTCATGTGGGCATGTGCATGTGCGTGTGTGTAATGGTGTGTGAGAGAGTGCTGACCTGGAATGCCTGTCGTACGCAGTGCAGTTTAGCGAGGAAGTCCTGATCGCTGTAACACTCCAGCAGTTCAGTTCTGTAACAGACACACCGAAATAACACTGTGTGTGTGTGTTCCCATCAGTCTCTGCTCCCTGAGCTACAGCGGAAAGCCTCAAATCCCAGGAGAAAGCAGAACATCTAAACTATCCCAATAACATCCAGTGTGCAGAGTTAATCATGTTAATATGCTCTACCTCAGTGATCTGCAGGCCACGTCTCCATCTTTCACCAAACTCAGAGCTTCTTCATAGAGAGCGGCCGGCTTCAGCAGATGAAACGAGTCCTCAAGAGAAAACGTCTCAAACAACTGCAAAACCAGAAAGGGAAGTGACATCACATACAGTTGAAGTCACAATTAGTAGCTTAGATTAGATTTTCTTTTTGGTTTAGTCCCTTTATTAATCTGGGGTCGCCACAGCGGAATAAATCGCCAACTTATCTAGCATATGTTTTACGCAGCGGATGACCTTCCAGCTGCAACCATCACTGGGAAAGCTCATTATTATTATATTATTTTTATATTTCTCAGATGATGTTTTAATTCAGAAAATTTTCACAGTAATTCCTATATTATTTTTTCTTCTGGAGGAAGTCTTATTTGTTTTATTTCGACAAGAACAGTTTTTAATTTTTATAAACCATTTTAAGGTCCATATTATTAGCTCTTTTTAAGCAATATTTGCTTTGGATTGTCAACAGAACCAACCACTGTTATACAATGAATTGCCTAATTAACCTAGTTAAGCCTTTAAATGTCACATTAAGCTGAATACTAGTGTCTTAAAAAATATCTAGTCAAATATTATGTGCTGTCATCATGGCAAAGAAATGTAAGTAAGAATAAATGCAGGTTTAATGACACTGTTTTCTGACCTCAGCAGCAGAGAAAAACGAGTCGTCCGATGTGACCGTCGTGGCATCGTCATCCTGGATGGGGTGTGAACTTCCCAGAGTGGGCAAAATCAGCGTGCCTTCACTTTCTGTGTGGACAAATTACGCAAGGTCATATAAAAAACATAAACTAAATAAAATTAAATTAAATAAATAAAAAAAAATTAAAATAAGTAAACAAAAATAAAATAATAACAATAAATAAATTATTAAAAATAATTAACTAAAAACTAACTAAATAAATAAATAAATAAAAATATTAAATAAATACATAAATAAATAAAAACTAAATAAAGAAATAAAAACGAATAAATACATTTAAAAAATAAAAAGTAATTAATTAAAAAATTAATAAATAAATACAAATAATAAATAAAAATAAATACATAAAAATACATTTAAAATGAATAAATAAAAATAAATAAATATAAATAAGTAAAAATAAATAAAAATTTAATGAAAAACTAATAAAAATAAATATATAAAAATTAAATAAAAAAATTTAAAATATATATTAAAAATATTAAAATTTAAATAAAAATAAATAATAAACAAAATGTCTAAAGACATATATATATATATATATATATATATATAAATATAAATTATAAAATAAAAAGGTATTTTCAGGATAACTTAGGATGATTTAAAATTAGACAAAACAACTGTTACATTCATAGTTTATGTTAGTTTATGTATTTGCTAACATGAACAAGCAATGAATATTTTTTAAATGCAAACCCCCCCCAAAAAACATGCATAATAACTAGTGCTGAGTAAAACTATATCATGATTGATCGCATACAAAATAAAAGTTTGTGTTGACAGTTTAAGTGTGTGTATGTTGTTTATTTAATATTTATACATAAATACATGCATATATTTGTGGAAAAAAAAAATTATATTTAGAATAAATTATACATGCATATGATACATTTGATATATTTATTTATATACGCTAGCAACAAACTTGTTTTGTATAGTTTTGTTTCCATGCATGTGTGTATTAAGTATTATGTGGTGGTGATACTCAACTATTTACCTCTAGGAGAGGCAGAAAAAAAGCCAATTTCCAAAAAAAAAAAAAAAAATGGAGTGTTCCTTTAAGAACCTGAAATGTGTTTGGTTAGCATGGATTTGTGTATATTTTACCCAGATCTGCAAGCAGACTGTCAGGTGGGATTGTGCTGCCGAAGTCCTCCTGCAGATGATAAGCTCTGTGCAGCAGAGTCTCCAGCTTCTCTGCAAACTGATGATTACGAACTTCGGGCTGGAAATCAATAAGCATCATTAGTTTACATCCACCTATTTATATGCGCATTTTGAAATGTTTCACAAAAATGTGACCACACAGCATGAAGTTCGCTGGATTGAGTCCCAGGTTGGTCAGTTGGCATTTCTGACTGGAGTTTGCATGTTCTCCCCGTGTTGGGGTGGGTTTCTTCCGGGTGCTCCGGATTCGCCAAACACATGCGCTATAGGTGAACTGGACTAACTTAAATGGCTGTAATGTACGAGAGTGAGTTAAGTATGAGTACTGGGCGGTTGGAAGGGCATCCATATCGTAAAAACATATGGCAGAATAGTTGATGGTCCATTTCACTGTGGCGACCATTGATAAATAAGAGACTAAGCCAAAGAAAAATAAACAAATAAATGATGATGATAATAATAATAATAAAGAAAATAAAACAGAAAGAAAAATCTGCAGAAACTACAATGGAAACTGATTTACTGAATAAATTCCAGCATGCAAATAAAAAAAAAAGTCGTGATTTAGACCTGATAACAAAAATAGGCATGATGGGATGTCATTTATGGACAAAGCAGTGTTTGAGAACACTGTAAAACATCTGGGGCCTCATGTATCAACGCTGCGTACGCACAAAAACTTTGCGTACGCCAGGTTTCACGCTTATAATCGCTCACGTTTGGATTTACTAACGATGAAATGAACGTGGGAATGTGCGCAGCTCCACGCCAGCTTCATGGCTGGCATACGCACATTTTTTGTGCGTGTCTGTTTTATTTCCATTGGCGACTCCTAGAGGCAGTTGTGTTAAATAGCACACTACAAAGTGTCTGAGCCTTGCAATGGCAGCTGTATGAGACGGGTTCATCTAGCAGGTATATAAGGTTTCCATACCATACAGTTGACCAGCCAAACATTAAAGCGCAATTTGCAGCGATCGCCGGTTTTCCCAATGTAATCGGAGCAATCTGCTGGACGCACATTGCTATAAAGACACTATCTGAAGATGAATTTGCATGCGTGAATCAGAAACATTTCCATTCAATAAATGTGCAAATAAAATATGATGCACAGACTTATTAATGATTCCTACTTGTCTTCCTCGTGATAGTTTTGCGCTTGTGCATGTTGCGCTCAGTTTCACGTTCATTCGGATGTACAAAGAATATGCGTGGGATTCGGCGTACGCAGTGTTTCATACATCTGAATTTTTTTCTGCGTACGCACATTTACAGCTTTGTGCGTAAGCAATGTTTTAGTATGAATTTCCACGCAAGTCTTCGTACATGAGGCCCCTGAAATGTTGTTTTGGTCTAAAATCCCTCAGCCAAAGTCTGTCATCACAATGGTTCAGTATTATGATCCCATGCTGCCCCAGCGTTCACTGATTGGTTAGGAGAGGAGGGGACTCGTATCTGAGGGAGGAGCCAATCAGAACAGTCAAAAACTGCTAGCTAGGCCTTGATCACACCGAACATTTTACATCAGTCGCATCTTTTTCATTCTCCAATCAAATGAAAGCAAAGCAGGATTTCCTCTGAGGTGACAGCTGTGTTTGTGTTGTCAAGAGAATTTTCAGGATAGTGGAGAGACTAGTGGTCCTGGTTTCAAGTTATAAAAATATCAACAGTGCACAATACGCAGCTGATTTAGTGGTTGCCAAGCAACATAAAAAGGGCGTTCTCTCATTAGGCACCGTTGCCTTGGACCATGCGCGAAGAATGGTCGCCCCCCTTCCCCTCTTCCCAGATGACCTCCACTAATGCTGCGTTTTGCCTTCTGAACCGAAGCACGCTTATATCCTCAATGATGCGGCAGTTCAGTTTACAGGAAGAGAAGTGATCTCGCTCAGAGCGTCTCAAACCTCCAAAAGCCACCCTCTTGTGTTCATTAAGGTGCAACTCATTTATTATATATACAAAAAAAGGCCCGCAGTGGCTCTATTTTCTATCTGATATTTGCCACCAGTTGTGCCGATTTTGTTCTCTTTGGCTCCCTGTATGGAAGCGCTGCTTTATTAGCAAATAGTTTATGCAGTATTACAGTTTTGCAGTTTTAAACATACTTCAGATCATAGGATGGAAGCACAGCTGGTGAGTTTTTATTTAGCTTTAGCATCTATGGTGATGTTTCTGAAGACTCACCGAATGTCGCTCCACAAGCTCTGAACCCTGACTGTTGGAGGCCGAAGCATGAGAGTGAGACCTGTGCCTGATGTTCAGAGCCAGCTCCCACTTCCTCAAGGCTTCTTCAAACAGCTCCATACCTGGAGATGAAGATGAAGAAGAAAAAAGAGGAGGAGATGAAGACCACAAGGAAGAGGAAGAAGAAGGACAATGTAGAAGAACACCAGCATCAGCATACACCCTTACTGGAGACTCTCATACTCCTCATGGCTGCTTTTACTTGATCAAAATAAATAAATAAATAAATAAAAAGTATTATTATTATTATATACATATATAGGGAATGGTTGGTGATATTAACATGGCCCCCAAGGTCTCCTGATCTGAGCCCCTTAGACTTTTATCTTTAGGGTCATCTAAAGGCAATTGTCTATGGTGTGAAGATACAAGATGTGCAGCACCTCAAACTACAGATACTGGACGCCTGTGCTGGCATTTCTCCTGCGGTGTTGCTATCAGTGTGTGAAGAGTGGGAGAAGAAGGTTGCATTGACAATCCAACACAATGGGCAGCACATTGAACACATTTTATAAGTGGTCAGAAACTTGTAAATAACTCATGAAAGAATAAAGTTACGTTAAAACCAAGCACACCATTGTTTTTCTTGTGAAATTCCCAATGAGTTTGATGTGTCACATGACCCTCCTCCTATAAAAAAAAAACAAAAGTTGGATCCAAGATGGCCGACTTCAAAATGGCCACCATGGTCACCACCCATCTTAAAAAGTTTGCCCCCACACATATACTAATGTGCCACAAACAGGACGTTAATATCACCAACCATTCCCATTTTATTGAGGCGTATCCATATAAATGGCCCAGCCTGTATAAAGGTGAAAAGGTGTAAATTATTAAGGTCTTTACTGGCACATTTCATCAACTTTCCTTAAAACAACAGAACAAAACAAAACGGTACTATAATGCATGACAAATGTTTAATTTGCTTTGTATTGAATATACATTTAATAAAAGATTTAAGAAAATCAACCAAGTGTAATTTACAAAGTACAAAGGTTTTAAAAGATACATTTTTCAGCATCCTTTCTCAGGATGCATTGATAAACACAAATGAACAGCATTTACTTCAAATCTATATAATTTGTCACATTATTTTTTGGCACTTTCATTTATACAAGTCATCCTTATTAAATGAAAGTATGCATTTCCTTCAGTGATACAGTATGCACTACTTTACCCATGAGATAGAGGTTTTCAGCATTGGCATCCTCTCCGACTGCTGGCTCTTCAGCCACAGGCTCCGCCTCCCATGCTGCCCCAGCATTCACTGATTGGTTAGGAGAGGAGGGGACTCGCATCTGAGGGAGGAGCCAAACAGAACAGTCAAAAACTGCTAGCTAGGCCTTGATCACACCGAACGCTCTACATCAGTCGCATCTTTTTCATTCTCCAATCAAATGAAAGCAAAGGCAGAATTTCCTCTAAGGTGACAGCAGTGTTTGTGTTGTAAAGTGACTTTTAAAGAGCCCATATTATACATGAAATAAGGTCATATCTTGGTTGTAAGGGTCTCCAACAACAGTCTAATATGCATGCAAGGTCAAAAAACACTTTCATGGTCTTATAATCTGCATTTATTTTTATCTAATTATCCCAGCGACTCCTGTATGAATCGTCCAGTGATTCATTTGTTCCCAAACCCCTCCTTAGCGCGGAGCTAATCTGCGCTGATTGGACCGATGACAGTCTGTCGCGATTGGTCGACTGCCTTCAGTCAGAGAGGGAAATGGCCAATAGCTAATCAGCAATTTAAAAAGTAATCACAGTTCATACACGCTCGATAGTGTAGGCGTGGACTTTAGCTGCCACACTATGGCGAGTGGATAGTGCCACGGATAACCGAACGAAGGAGACAGTCGTGTACTCGCCATACCACACACACACAAAAACACACACACACCTCCGGATGACAACGCTCCCGCTTCAGCCCGCACCCGCCAGGTTTTAGCCTGAGAACCCGCTCCGTTTTCTGCCCGCCGCGCCCGGTCCCGCTAGAGCGGAGAACACAACCAAATATCACCCAGTATACAGTCCAGACAGCCAAGCTGTCTGTACACACACAGCACAAAGTACACAAAGCTCGTTCGTTCGTTCGCTCTCTCTCTCGCTCTCTCTCTCTCTCTCTCTCTCCCCGCGCCAGATTTCTGCGGCGCGGGAATAAATTTCCGAATAAATCGCGGGAGCAGAACTCTAGCATGGAGCTCCATAAACAAACAGCACGCGTCGCGTTTTTAACGTGACTTTGCACGCGATAAGATAATATATCCAGTTAACCTGATACAGTACACGCGGTTACAAGTAACAAATCACAACTAAATACATTTGCAAGCTAGAGTAAACGAGGCAACAACTTTAACCGCACGTACTTACACTTGAGAAATGTAGGAAGAAACCCATCCTGACGTCCATCAGTTACTCTTTACTGATCCTTCCTTTAACAAACTCAGATGAAGTATTCTTTGTAGCATGTAGCTTCCAGAAGTTTCCAACTGCTTGGTTATAATGCTGAGGTTTCATCTTTGGGTAGAGACTCAATATATCCATCTGCAGTGTGACTTCAATCGACCGGCATGTTTGTGTTCGTGTGTTTGTGGGTGTGCGTGTGTTTGTGGGTGTGTGTGTGTGTGTCTGGGTTACTGCGTCAGAGGGCGGGGCCTCAGGTTTGAAATCTCCCGGGTTTGCGCGTGCACGTGAAAAACTTTGTTTCGTTCGTACGTCATGGCGAAACACCTAATGAGTCGGTATCAAGGCGACTCGTTTGAAGCACTATGATTCGACTCTTTTATAGATGAATCAACAGTTTTAAACACTGTATTCTTACAGATTTAAGCCTTAGCTGGATACTTCACTTCACTTAGAGCTGTGTTACACACTACATGGAGGGGAATTTTCAAAAACCCATAATATGGGCTCTTTAAAGATAGTGGAGAGACTAGTGATCCTTGATTCAAGTTATAACTATATGTAACAATGGGGTGAGACAGTGGCTCAGTAGTTAGCACTGTGGTCTCACTGCAAGAAGGTTGCTGGTTCGAGCCCCGGCTGGGTCAGTTGGCATTTCTGTGTGGAGTTTGCATGTTCTGCCCGTGTTCGTGTAAGTTTCCCCCACAGTCCAAAAGCAAGCACTATAGGGGAATTGAATAAACTAAATTGGCCGTAGTGTATTACAAAACAGAAAAGCACGTTCAGTGTTATCGGCCACTTAGACTTTTCATAGTTTGGTTGACAGAAAAGCTGTAAGATTGTGTGGTTTACTTACAGAGGCGATGCTGTGTGAAGAACTCGAGTGTTTGCTTTGTGCGATTGATGAAACACCGCTGAGTGTGTCATTACTGCGCGTGCTGGGACTCATCATCTGACGAGCAGGAACCGGACCTGGAAACACACAAAGTTATGTGTACAACATGTTACAGGTGACACGACAAACCATGAAGCACTGGGTTTCTCTTTTGTATTTTTTTTATTTAACATCTTATCAATTACAAATACAATAGCACAGGATCAAAATGAAATGGTAAAATGGTAAAAATACTAATATAAAATTAGAATAGATTTAAAAATGAAAATGGATCCCATATTTTATGAACAAATACGACAGTTGCAGTATAATCACTTTTTATTGGTTCATTTTATTTTCGTTGCTGCAAAACTGTATTTATGGTTAAAAAAACTGACACACGCAGACACACACACACACACACACACACACACACACACACACACACACACACACACGCACACACACACGCACACACACACGCACACACACACGCACACACACACGCACACACACACGCACAAACGCACGCACGCACAGACATGCAAGCACACACACACACGCAGACACGCATGCAGATGCACGCACACACAAACATGCAGATGCATGCACGCACTCAGACACACGCATGCAGACGCACGCACACACAAGCATGCAGATGCATGCACCCACACAGACATGTACCCACTCAGACATACGCACACACGCAGACATAAGCATGCATACACGCACGCATGCAGATGCACGCTCACAGACGCAACCACGCACGGACGCAGTACGAGTTTGTTTGTTTATTTGTTTATTTATTGCCAGATCAGCAACTTATGGCTATTTCATAGCAAGAATAACAGATAAACATATTACATACGAAATCATAAGTCCAAGGCACTAAAAAAGCACATGGAAAAAAATTTAACATGGCTATTATTTAAAAACAGCACTGTTGTGCACTGCACCCATGCGTTTTGGCAAAACTTGCCTTCATCAGGGTGACAATCCCCCTATCCAAAGAGCACCGACACATTAACTACCCCTGAAATACTTTTTTGCTTGATTTTGATTTTAATATTACGTAATACTTGAGTGTGAGTTTTGTAGTCACTGTCCCTTTAGGCAGTGTATAATGTGACTCCGCTCACCTCTCTTGAGCGAGGCCGGTCGGCTGGATCTCAGCAGCTGTTCTGGGATCCCCACAGGTTTCTGTGCTTCTTTACCAAGGGTCTGCTTCCTCTTCCGGCCGCGTCTCTTCAGCTGATGAGCCGTCAGAGCCAGAGCCACGCTGCCCAGCGCTGTGGCAAACAGCACCTTCTTCAGACTGGGACTCAACTTCAGCTGAGAGAAGATAGACTGAGAAACAGAGAGAGAGAGAGATTTGTTTGTCTGCTTGTGTTTGATGTACGAATGAAATCAAGACTAGCAATGTTGATTTAATTAGCTCACATTGCTAGTTCTGAGGTGAACATCTCATCTGTGCATGCCATTAGGGAAAAAAAGAAAGGTTTGTAGTCTTGTTTTTTATATATACATACATATATATATATTAGGGATGTAACGGTATCAGAATTTCACGTTTCGGTAATACCTCGGTATGAATGTCACGGTACGGTATTTATTGAATCATTTACAGGAAAAAACAAAACTTATGAAAATACTCCAAAAAAGTGCCAAAAGTGTCAATGACATACAAATTAGCCATCTATCTGTAAGCTTTGAAACACTAACTTCAATTTTAATAACAAAAAATTATTAAACCATGTAAAAAAATTTAGTTTCAATTTAGTATTGTTGAAAACTCATCACATTTAACATTTAATCACTCACTCACTTAGATAGAGATGGGTTTAAAGGAAAATTATCATATAAATATAATCTGGTAAAAGCTGGTATCTCTGGGTATTTACAATGTCCCCTGCAACAGAAAAAACCCTCTCATTTGGGACTGAGGTTTCTGGGACAAGAGAGATATGACTTGGTCCAGGTTGACAGCAGTGGGTAACGTTGTGCATTGTCTTTCCCCCACTTGAGAGGACAAACCATGAGTGAGATAGAGGTCTCTTTGCGGTACAAGTCAATGTCTGCATCAATCTGAACAGTGTGCTGTGTTCTGCAGTCCCCATGACTGCTATTAGTCGTATTCCCCAACTTGCAGGCACGTGCACACATAGGGCTCAACCTGTGCAGTGCACATGCCCTTTTTAGTCTTGGATAGAAAATGCCCTTCCAAAACGATCAAAAGTGCCCCCGCGACGCGACACAACCTCCGTCCAGTCCAGCCCTTCAGTAGGCGCGCGACAACACCTCTCTTGAGTATGCGCGCTCAACCCCCCCTCGGCGCTTTACAATACGCGCGCCACAACACAGCTGATCAGAACGCGCGCGACAGCACCGCCATTCAGCACGCGCGCGGCGACAACACCCGCTTTAGGTTTGATCATTTCCATCTTTTTTTCATCTCCGCTACTAGCAGCACACTCCATTTCCGCATTACTGGATCTGTAGCGACAACAGACCGCAAAGGATTATGGCCACGCATGGGCTGATGGGAAATGTAGTTTCAGCTACGTCCCGTTCGCTTCATTCGCCTGAGCAAATTTTCTCAGAAGACCTATAGTTTTACCGAGTCATGCGACTTCGGTAATATCGAAAAAATTTAATATTGCGGTATGACGGTATTTACAATACCGTTACATCCCTAATATATATATATATATATATATATATATATATATATATATATA